TCTAACCGTCATAACAGAAAAGTGTTTGATTCTGAGAACAAAATCGTGTTTTTTGCACAAAGGGACAACGACATTTTTATGGTTTTCTTTTTATTGGTTTCGATATTGATACATTATTTTGTTATTACTTCATGATTTGTTATTCTTAAACTTTTGAACATAAGTTTCTAGTCTCTTAGGTTATTTTTTTTATGTATTAAAAATTTCTTTTATTGCTTTACCAAAGAGTGTAGATTGTTCATACTCATGTTGTTATTATCATTGCTAATGTTCGTTCTTCTCTTTGCTCTATATGTGTCATGACCTTCTATCTTCATCTCAACATTAATCTTAATTGATTATGATTAGCATGCCACTTCTAAAATGCATCACCCTCCTTGTAAGAGATAGCTGACTCTGATTCTACATCTTTTCTTTAGCAACAACTACCCTCTCATTGATGATGATGCACACACTGATTGTCATGTTGCTTTAAGTTGATCAGACCGGATGGGGGATAACTGCCACCAGGTTTTCTTCTGGACATCTATATCTTCAGTCTTAAACAACCTATTTCGATTGCAGTGATATGATGTGGAGTTTGGTGACATGGAAAATCAATGGATCTTGTCATTAACTATCCATCACTTCAAAGATCCAACGACATATTTGTTGGTGAGAGGCGACGATCTTCTGTTCCCCATGATTAGATTTATTCTTCCACACTCCACATCCCTACTTCTTCTTAGTCCCTGCAAATCAAAACATATATGATAACCACATCTTGTATCAAGAACCCAAGAAATAACATGCGATGAATCATTAGATTTAATTGTGTAAATACCTGCGAAAGATGGCTTGATCTTCTCATCCTTGATGGCTTGCAAATATTCCGGGCAGCTTCTCTTCTAATGCCCTATTTTGTGGCAGTGGTGGAACTCTGCCTCCTTTGGGTTTGAGTTGGGCTTGGCAAGACCAACTTTGGTCCCATTAGAGGAGGAACCATCATGGGACTTTCCCTTGTTGTGGCTCTTTGCAGAAGCCTTCCTCTTCTTGCCTCTCCCTTGTGCAATAGCCAAAACAGGAGCAACAGGTGGACTCGGAGTTAATGCAATAGACTTGTCCTTGATGTTGCTCTCACGAGTCCTTAGGAGCCCTTGGAGTTTACTTAGGGTGACCTCTTCTTTGTTCATGTGGTAGGTCATCCTAAATTGGTTGTAGCACGAGGGCAAAGAGTGAAGAACGATGTCGATTGCCAAATCTTCCCGAAATTTAACATTTAACTTCCGAAGACGATCAACATATATTTGCATCTTTTACAAGTGCATGGTTAGAGATTCTCTACTTCCCATCCTAGCGGTGATCATGTTTCTGATGATCTCATAGCTCTCTTGCCTTGCGCTTTGGTGATTTCTCTCCATCAAGTCTTGATGCATTTCGTACGGATGCATGTCCTCATAGGACTTTTAGAGTTCGGGATTCATTGTGGCTTGCATAATGCAATGGACTTTCGTTGCATCACGCTCATCGATCTCAAAGACAGCCATTTCTTCTGGAGTAGCGATTTCTGGATTGATCTTTTCAAGCTTCTTGTCGAGGACATACTCTTTGTCCTTGTAGCGAGCAATCGTGCAAATGTATCTTATCCATTCGCTAATGTTCGATCCATCAAATGTTACCTTTTGACATAGGCTCATTAGCGAGAATGAGGTAGCAGCAGCGTTGTTTACGTTAGAAATCTACAAATAGAAAGGCACAAAATTTGATTAGAATTAAATCCCTAATTAAACACCAAAATGGAAAATTTGGGCTAGGACCCAACAACATTATTTACACATTAGAAAAAGAGATGCCGTAATTGAATATGCAAATAATTTAGAGGTAAGTGAATGACAATTCACTAACTCTTCACCATGAAAAACATAACGCTCAAGTTTTAAATGTATTGAGAATTCCTAGATTTCCTTAGAGATTCATTGAACTTTTCAATCGCATGTTTAAATCTCGATATGCCCCTCTCGTTTGTGACTGGGATGCCGAGGATCACAAAGTGGGTGTGAATAACCATGCAAATCTACATGGTGCCCTCATTGTTACAATCAACTATTCGATGTGCCGGTAAACCACACACGCTCCATCGAACTATGACAAACAATGAGTCACCCTTTGCCACCTTTGCTTAGAACCAATTAGTGTGCCGGTTAACCACACACGCTCCACTAACTTCTTAGTAAGGGTGCAAAGTGCAAGTTCATGGGATTGCATCAATTTCACTTTTTCCTAAAGTAACTATGATTGAGAATTTGTAAAACTGTTTAGTTACTTTACATAGATTCATTATACTTATTAATGAAGAGAGGATTGCCCTATCCTACCCATTCGGCTAACGACCGTCGACCAATCAAGGAAGCAGTGAGTAAGAGTAGATACCCATTAAACGACCATTTTATAGCCCATAACCTTATACCTCCCTTATAGATCGGCTTCGTGAATGAGGCCTACTAACGGTAAGACTAGCATTTTTGTTATATATATATATATATATATATATATATATATATGTATGTATATATATATATATTAATCTTGTAATAATATAATAGTATAGGGTGTATTTTAAGCATTAAAAATACTAGGGTTTTAATCTCAATTTAAATTTTTCACACTACTAGAAAAACAGCCTTTTACGACACGCAATGCGTGTCGTAAAACGCTCAGACGACGCGCAAATGCGTGTCAAGGAAGGCCCTGTCATAACGAGAGATGACACGCTTTTGCGCGTCGTCTATTTACAACGAGCATTTACGAAGCGCAATTACGACACGCATTTACAACGCGCGTTTACGATACGCTTTGCGTATCAAGGAAGGCCCTGTCGTTACCTTACGGCGCGCATTTACGACTCGCATTCCGTATCATTAAAGCCCCTGTCAAGAAAGGCCATGTCATAAATGAAGATGACACACATTTTTGCGTATCATAATTTTATATGTTTAAAAAAATATATCATTTATAGATTTACTAATTTTCAAATTAAATTATTATTTAATGTCTTATAATAGAAAATAAAATATCATATACAAAAAATACAATCCATTGCATAAAATTTAATGTTAAACAACAAATTAATAGAGGTTGTAACAAAAATTTACAAACTAACTACATACAAAAAATATATAAAAAAATATATACCCTCAAATGCTTTTCAAAGTCTAATATCCATTTTAGCTATTCAACTCACTTCTTCAGTTTGTCCTTAGAGAAGTCCTTAGCTTCTATAAGAGCTCCAACATCTCTTGCAGCCTGTGACAACATATTATAATTTTTTTAATTACTATTTATTCTTATAATTCAAAGAATTTAGATAAAATTGTATTATATAATACTGATATTTTTTTACAGAAAATCCACTCACCAGCTTCAACATTCTTAATTCTTTCCTTGCATACCTTTGAGGAAACTCTCATTACTTGATAACTTTCAGCTGCATTAAGATAAAATACAAATCATTATATTTCTACCTTATTCTTATTTTTAACCTTTCATTGAATTTCAAAATGAAAATGACAAAATTTTCTTACATTAACCATTTAACAAGTCTACGCCTCTCTCATGCAAAATCTTCAAGTGAAAAACGTATCCAGACAAGAAAGCATCGAAACCTGCTTCATATGGACAATATTTCATTCCATAATCCTTCTCAATACTAAACACAACATAATCAAAAACATTTTTCATATTATTACTAAAAACAGAAATGTTAAACTTGGACATAAGAACACTATTATTATACTAAAAACAAAATTCAAATGGTAACTCGTGTATGCACTTCAAATGGTAACTCTTGTATGCACTTATAAGTTCCTATGTTCATATTTTTACAAGGTTTTAAAAACCGGACCGGACATCGAACCGTTTATCTTACTGGTTCGACCGCTCCTAAAACCCGGAAAAAATTGGATATATATATATATATATATATATATATATATATATATATATATATATATATATATATATATATATATATATATATATATATATATGTGTGTGTGTGTGTGTGTGTGTGTGTTGTGTTTAAAAGAATAAATTATATATACATGAGTGTTTTATATATGTATATATGTATATTAAATAACATAGTGTGTGTTTTACATTATCGTAGTTGTCTAAAAATATAGTCTGAATAATTAAATACGTGTAATATTTGTGTTCATCATAAAAAACAAATAATGTAAATATGTTTAATATGTGTGGATGTCGTATGAGAGGCCAAGTTTGAGGCATCCCACATCGGTGGGTGAAAAAGAAATAGAAGGCAAATAAAGTCCATAAAAGTAGTGCTTAGAAGGACAAGCCAAGTATATTTTCTCACTGCCGGCTCCTTCGAGTTGGCTTGATCTTTTGAGCCGAGTATAAGAAAAAGAAACAGGCCATGTTTTTTCAATAAACCAGTTTTAGTTCCAATTGAACCACGCTGGTTTTTTACGGTTTTTAGCTAAACCGCCGGTTTTTAACGGTTTGCAAAAAAGCGTTTTTGTGGTGTAAAAAACCGGTAACCTGGGCGGTTACTGGTTGAACTGGTCCAACCTTCCGGTGCGGTCCAGTTTTCAAAACACTACATTTTTATACTAAAAACATAAATGCTTTATACTTTTATATTTTTTTTTTAATTCATTGCGTTCTAAAAGGCTTTAATCCAATCAATTTCCAATCTAAATTCACCTGGGCCAGTTTTTCCACCACATACACCACCTTTAGCATTCACAGAGAATAAAATTCCAATAACTCTTAATGGATTAACAACTCTTGATGGATTAATTACATTCGCTCTCCATGTTGGAAGGTAATGTGCCAACGAAATCTGCAATTTCATTCCAAAGTTCATCATTAACATCCTAAAATGTTTAACAAAATGCGTTGAAAACTTTACCTTTGCGACAAACTTATTGTGTTTAGGCACAGACACAAAAGCTTGCCGTGATTTTTTTTCCATTTGTCCAGGAGAATTCACTTAATTTTCAGTGTAAATCTGAAACAAAAATTAAAACATTAAAAATTACAAAAAAAAAGTACATGTTGAAATTAAAATTAAAAATTGAGAAAGTAATGATGACGATTATTAAGAGAAGAAGACATACAGCTCAGATAATATTTGTTCATGTGATTTGTTTAACATTAAAAGTATGTATGTAATTTCTTTTTTTGATAGCTGAAACTTCTTCCATTCCTTTTCTGAAAATGGATTCCTTAGTGTTGCATGTGATGACTCCACATAGATTAAAAAATCTTGTGAAGATTGTGGCTCTTTTTCTTCCCATGTTGATAAAGACACCCGATTCAAAGAAATTGTTAAATTTTATAACCAATAACCAGATGTCTGAAACATAAGTTCTGGTTACCTTAGAAACAGACTTCAAAAATACAAGTGTTCTAGAGGCATCCTTAATGAAATTTTCAAATATCAGTTTTATTTCTGTCTTCCATCTTCAATGAACTTTGATGAAATAGGCATTCGTATAACTGTAGAGTCTGGTGACCATAGAACTTTTTGACCAATAAACATGGGACTAAACTGATCACGGAATCGTTAAGTGAAATTGGTACTTGTAATTAACAAAATCATAACAGAATACTAACCTGAATAACATAAAGATAACAGAATTATTACTAATATATACCTGTCAAAGTAAACATATTTGCAACTGGAGAATGACTTGATGAAGGTAGAGTAAAAGCTTTACCACAAGGATCAAACATATATAAAAAGCCACCAGAGACAACTGAAGGAAGATCAGTTATAGAATAACAACTCGTTAACCCTAATCCATAATTAAGCATGTCACCCCTTAAAACCCATGGAGGAAGAAACTTAAGGCTAGATATTTCCTCTCTACTCAAACTTGCTCCTTCCAGTACATCAACAATGGCAGGACCTTAAAAATCTCCTGTAAAAAAAAATTTTAATTTTTTAAATTTAATTGGCTATAAAGTAAAACTAAATAGTATGATAACTTTATACCTTAATTTTGTATCAGCAATGATTGGGATGGATGTTCGCATTTGTCAAAAATTATATGAAGCTTTTTCGCTTTACAGCAGTCTTCAAGCTCAATAAGATCATATAACAAGAAATCTTTCCCTCCATATAATTCAAGAAGCTCATGGATCTTTGCATATTCCATACAGGGTAAATCTTTTATCATTTCCTCACTGACTAAAGAGATGGAACGAAGGCATTGAATCCCTAGCCTGTTAGCCAGATCATGAATGATACTCGAGTGTATGATATGTTTTCCCAGAGGGGTATTATTGTCCAACCAAGGTGCATCATTATTCATCACATCCTTTGCAGCCATGAGAACCCCTTGAGAATCAGGCACCAAAAATGGAGTGTTGGAAGATTCAAACATTGATCTCTCTGATTGACAATCATGGATGAAGTGAACCACATCTGTGATTTAGGCCTGATAGTATCCGATGCTGGAATTTGCTGAGCTGGCAGTAACCATGGAAGTCCGGTCAAAGGTGGGTCAACAGAAATAGGACACCATCTGATGGCTTTTAGTTCAGACCAAAACTCGTCTCCTGGCATTTCATCGAACAGCTTGCCTACATAATCTTCATGAAAAGCATCAGGAGTGTTTCTTGAGTAGTCATATGCTTCATCATCTGGCCCAAACTCATTAAAACTAAATTCTACTTCCTCAGTTGAAAAATTGAGTGCCAATGCATCTAAACAACCAAGTAGTCTGTTTTCATTTACAACAGCCTATGGTTCCATTTTATCATGCAACATAGACACCGATTAGTAGAATCAATCAAACCCTGGCAAAGAAAAACATTAAGAGCAATAATGTTTGAAGAATGATTAAGAACTAAACAAGACATGGGTGTCTTCAAAGTCAAGATCAAGAACTAAAGACGATGGAATTTTCTAAAAAAGAAAAGCATTAAGAACAAAAACACAGGAAAAGGGATTATATGTGTAAGAATCATAACCCTTGTTTACTAATCATATATAAAAATGCCCAGATTGGGAAGGAAAATAAACATGCAGATTCCAAGAATCAAGAAAACCAAACAGTTTATGAAAATCTTATAAAATCAAAGAGCTAAATCCACATAAAGTCTAACACTGAAAGAAGAACAAGAAATGGCTTTGAAGGATTATAGATGCAAATAAATGAAAGAAGAAATTATACTCTATGGAGGAGAGACTTACCTAAAGTCGCAGGAGAAGAAGTGTTTGTGCAATCAGAGTAGTTTTAGGGTTTCCTTCGGTTACTCCCTTTACATCTCTGACAATCTTCATCTATGGAGGAGAGAGATGAGAGAAAACCCGGTGGAGGGGGAGAGATAAGAAGATGGATGCATCGATTAGGGAGAAAACAAACTCAGAGAGTGGAGTGAAGTCAGATTTAGGAGAAGTTTTACCAGTTTTAGGGAGAAATCGAACCAGTTGGTCTTTGTTGTTGATGTCTTTGTTGTTGATCTTCTTTGCTGGGATTATTGGCACGTGCATAGAGAGAAAGGTTAGGGCTTCTTAATTGAGAGAAAGCTTAGGATTGATAGAATTTATGAGAAAGATCTTGCGGAAGGAGTTGATAAATCTCGAGGCTGTGACTATGACCATATGGGATAAAGAATGGCTGACTCCGGCAATGGGGAGGTTCTTGATTGAGAGAACCTGAACTAACTCGAAGTTGAATTCACAATTTTTGATCTAAGGCACCGTTTCTCAAGAACAAATTAGGGTTCTTAATATTTAGGGATTTATGATTTAGGGTGATTTGGGGAGTCGTAGTAGGCGGGATGTTTAATTTTTTTGGGAATGGAAAATGGTTATGAATGATTTAGGCTTTTAGCATAGGATTTTAGAAGGAGGATCAGGCGGGGTGTTTAATTTTTGTTTGATTTCATTTCCCAAAAAAAATACGGAAAACGCGCCTTGTAAAAAATATAAAGAGACACCTTTATACGACACGCTTATTATAATAGGTGCCCTCCGTATTTCTTTTTTTTTCTTTTCTAACGCTAATTTTAGCGCACACATAAATGCGTGTCCTCTATTCTTCAAATTTTAGAAGAGATGACATTATGTTTAGGGCGCCCGCTGTTGCGTATCGTAAATCACTGCGTGTCATTGTTTGCGTGTCATTAAAGGGCTGTTTTCTAGTAGTGTCAAAATTTATCACTTTTAAATTAAAATTTTAAATATTAAAACTCTTGATTTAATAATTATTCAAATTAAACAATTAATTCTAATTACTAAATCATAAAGGATTATTATAAATTAAACAGTTTAATTTATCCTCATACCTTAAATCCCACTAAATTTCGAAAATAGGGAGGGGATAATTCAAAATCCTTAATTACCATATTTAACAATTAAAAGATAATTACAAGATATGGGATTATCCAAATCCGTAGATTATAGGGATATATCTTGGCGAGGAGGCATGATCTTGAAAGTCTAAGGTTTGTAAACCCTAGATCTTGAAATCTTTGGCAACAAGGAAAGTTTTTGAAAACCTTTCAAAATTTCGAACACTAGGGTTCAAGAAACCCTAAAATCGAAATCCAAGCCTCCCAGGGTGTATTGGCCATAAACCCTAAAGTGTAAAATTCATACAATTGTGTAATACTAATTGAAAACAATTCAACCAAAGTCTCTGATACCACTAATGGGTTTTAGACAAACAATCCTATATGTGCGTGCAACCCTAGGTTTGGATCTATGTTTTCACTATTAGATACACAACATTATCAACACATGAAGAACCCTAGCATGTTCCTAGTATTTTCGAAATTTACATAGAAAGATAGATCACATACCTCTTGTTATTATATTGTAATAGCAACTCAAATCTTCAAACCCTAAATCTTGAAAGCCAGTACCACAAGTGTAGTACCTCTAATGGCTCACAAACGCCACAAGCAATTGGAGAGACAATGGAGAGAGAAGAGGAGAGGTAGAAATCGGCTCTAGAACCCTAGGGATCAAGTGGGGACGATTTCTATGGCCTTAGGGGTCTTTATATAGGGTAAAGATTAGGGTTTCAGTCTGTATCCTTATCTAGTTGCTTGCCCACCAAGTAACCATAAGATAAGCCTTGAAAGCCTTATCCTTGGACGATTTCAAGGATCCTTATCCCTTGAATTCGTCCAACCTATATCTAGGGTAACCATTGCCCTATTTTGCAACTATCACATAATTACAATTCAGCCTCTCTAGTTTAATTAATTACACTTAATCACAAAATTAATTCCTAATTAATTATTGACCAATATTAATTAAACAAATATGATTTCTCCTTTAATGTATTATTCTTATAATATATTAATAAATCATAATAACCTCTTTCTCTATTTGTTTCTGCAGTCAAGTTGCTTTGGTGAAGGCAACCCAAAAGGACCATGCACAATCAGGTCAAGTACTTACAAAATATGGTTACGGGCTTAGACACTAATCCAACACTATTATGGAAACTGTTGAACTAATGATCGAAGATAAGTCAGTGCCTCTTTCTCCTCAAGCTAAGATTGTTTCTTCTATGCTAACACCTATCATGTGTTGGGTTTTGAGCATTCTAACACTCCTAAGGTGTACATGCAACCATAAATACATTGGTTCTATGTTTTCTCTATTATACATGGATACTTGAACTTTCCATGTTATTACCCTAACTAGCATAAAAATCTTTGATACTTGGGTAACAAAACAAGTTATATGACATACCTTTTCTTGTAGCTTGTTAGAAACCTTGGATCTTTAAGAGCTTAGCACCAATAGTATGAATGGTTTAAATGGAATCACAACACACCTAGAACAAAGGATAACTTGAGAAGAGATTCCTTGCACACACAAATAGGCTAGCTCTCTAGTATTCCACTTAAGTGCTTATTTCATGAGTTGATTTCATGAGTTGGAGGGGTTCTTATATAGTGTGGTAAACTAGGGTTACACCATGTAAACCCTAATGACTTTCCATATCCCTCATGCTTCATGGGTTAAAAATCCATGGAATATCCATAAGTTACCACATGGGTTTAGCCCAACATGAAGAATCATGGATCATAAGCCCACTTTATAAGAATGAATGATTTACCAAATCAACCCCTTATATTTAATTAATCTGTTTTTGATCACATAATTAATTCCAAATTAGTTCTTGATCAAAACTAATTAAACAACTGGATGGGGAGACCCGCGTAGTGGGGGTCAGATGCGACAGTTTTTTTGTTGTTGTTTGTATCAACTATTTGTTTATAGTTTGAGTATTGTTATAGGGTAGTAATATTGTTTCGTCATGGATAATTTTTTTTGTTGTTGGATAAGCTTTTTATCAAAATATATACTTAATGGGTTTATCCTTTGGTAGTTCACATGCCTTATTTTCTAATTGATTATCGATGAAAAACAATAATTTTTAATTATAATCCTCTACTTTACATGGTTGGAACTCAGTTGGGGCTTAGGGGGTTATGGTTGGAACTCAATATGCCACCTTTCTTGTGGATCATCTTGAAAAACACTGTTGAATCAACCCAGGATCTTCTCATCGGCACATCATCTGCAAAAATTAAAAAATAAAAAATAACTTGTGCACCAACGAGAATAGGGAATGTGAGATTATAGGGGAAGCCATTGATGTTACGTGTAAAAATAATAAAAAAAACTATTTATTACCTAATAAATTACGAAATCAGCAGGAATATCCAGACAACCAATGTTGTCGCCTCGAAAGAAGGTGGCACCTTTTGACTTTCAGTCGATTTTCTACTATTTGCGGCTGCTCACAAACTTCTAGGATAGCTTTGTAATTTCCATTGCTACCAACAGCCTTAATCAAAGGGATACACAACACAAAACCATACAATGTAAAATCATGAATCCATAGACCTAAAATTCCCAAGAAATGCCTAAAAAATGTTTAAATAAGAATATAAAAATTTAGCATATTCATAGGATCTATCATATAAGCTGAAAACAGTTCAGACTAACACCTCTTACAATTATACGGGGAAGTGTAATATCATCAACCTACAAAAGAACATGAAATCATGCCAACCATTAGATAACGAAAACTATTTCATACTTGGATTACATTGCCACAATTAGGCTAAATGTTAATAGTAGAATGTTGTAATAGAAGTTAAGAATGAAAGAATGATGATAGAAGGAACAAATTGGTAGAATCACATTACTATTTCTTGCATCTAACCCGAACTATATATCTAAATCACCCCCTAAAGTACCCTCTATACAGGGTCTACATGGTATTTTAAATCACCTGCATCATCAACAACAACAACAGCTCCTGTTCAAACGTGGATCAAGGCAGTAGGAAGGTTATTTAAATCATATGCATTAATAACCACAAACTAAGAAACCCTAAAATCTAAAAAAATCACATGAAAAATTATAGAT